TCTAATGATATTTTAATCTAACACGATTTCTGTTTTTCAATCATTTGATAAAAAAAAAATTCTTTTGGTGGCTCAGGGGATGCCATTCAAATGAGGTGATCGATACGAATTATCCGGCATGCACCAACCCCTGTGTTGACGTTAAATATTCTCAGTGGTAGACGGATCGTGGTTTAGAGCGCCTTTGCCGTCAAGCTAACAGTAGAAGGATTTCGTGATATTCCTCTTGACTTAACTCAAATGCGAGTTAGTTCCATTAAAAAAAGTCCTCCACGAAAGCAAATTTCACCCGATGATTGATTCAGGAGCTCCCTTGTCTTTCGGATTGGGTACAAAACTACAAGGATACGGAGTTTAACATTAGTAGTCGTAAACCCAAAATTAGGTTCACTATTCAACGACGGTTAAGATGTAAAAAGTTATAAAATCCATTTAGAGAACAATTAGCAACAGCAATGCGTTGTCTTTTCTCAGTATTTCACTTTCACAAATTTTGATTGGTCAGTAAATAGTTGAAGTGCCNTTAGGTTTACTATTCAACGACGGTTAAGATGTAAAAAGTTATAAAATCCATTTAGAGAACAATTAGCAACAGCAATGCGTTGTCTTATCTCAGTATTTCACTTTCAGTAAATAGTTGAAGTGCCTGCCTACTTATGTCTGTATCTCATCATAATTAAAATTAATAACTATTTGAGTAGCAAGTGCACAACTCCCTTTTTAGGCATTAAGGTTTTTTAGCACTATAAACGTTCTCAATTAAAACTTTCGTGTCTTGCGTTTTTGTCTGATATTTACTAAACTCCTGACTTGGCGATGTCGTTGTAAAACACAGATGAGCGTGTTATGAAACGGAAATATTCAATGGAGTGGCCTGAACAAGTGTGACATCCGAATTGGGAGTGGTAGACGGCCGTTCTGCTCCCTCTTCGAGCTTCACACTTGATCAGCCGTTTCGGAACTTTTCCGTTCTTTCGACTACGGTGCAGTAAGAACCAGGGTGTCAAACGAACTGGGTGGTCCTGGACAGTGATGCTAGCCCACATGTCCGTGACCCTAAGTCACTGAAGAACTCTGGTGCTTACAGCTAAATATATTTGTCTTTAAAATTATCTAAATTATTATCCCGCTCAAATTAAAATCTTAAGAGCTGAGGTAGGATAGAGTAAGGTCCTGGATTGTAACTAAAGATTGCCAATCCGTGCCCTGAAAAACCACCCGGCCCTTTACTAACGTTTAATCTTAGAGAAAAAGAACGTTTATAGGTGCTTCAAATTCATTAATTTCGACGTTCACACTATTTTCCGGTCGAAAGGGATATTTTTTGTTCTTAGATGAGATTAGATAACGGATAGGATGCAACATTTTGAAAATATTAATTATGATTATATTCCAATTTTGAGCTCAACTTGAATCGG